ATTCTTTCTAAGACTATGTGTTCAATCCACTATTATTATTTTGCCATATGCTTGCCCCGTATGTCTTGTATTCAGAAGACAGAAAACAGGCTACATAGAGTTGAGATTGGAGAACCACTGAAGACTGTTGAAACCCAAAAAGCTGTTGCCTAAATGGAACAATAGTGCGGCTCTATGCCAACAATTTTCCTCCATCCTAAGTGTAGAGGATTCCCGTTTTAAGGGGTAAAAGAGTCTTCCCAAAAATGGAGAGATGGAGTTGTTGATGTAAGAATCTAAAAGTCCAACAGAGAAAGTTTGGTGACCTAGCCAAGAGAAAAAACTGAAGAAACAAAGGAGGTGTGTTGAGAGAAGGATTAAATACAGGTAAAAAACAAAAACTACAAAGGTTAGAGAAGACTTCTTGGTCTGAGAATGTGTGAATGAAGTAAGGATGGCTACCACAATACTGTAGATAGCTAAAGGGCAGTAGGGAATCTAAGGCAAGAAATAGTACGAAAGAAGTTAGTATTTTATCTGGATGAGTAGAAGTCCTATGTGTTTTAAAGGTTAAAGATGCTTAGTGTTAGAAAATGTTTACAAAATCTATTCCTTTTTCCTTAAACTATCTTTTCTATCTGAAATTATATGCTGTAAACCAGCATTCATGGGCCTAGAACTCAGGAAGAGCCGGGTGTTTAAACTAGTGGCATTTGTTAGTTCATCATTTAGACTTCTCTCATCATTTTGTGGTTGGGAACCTCTGTAGACTGAAACTGAAACCATTTCACGAAATCCCTTTCAGGTCAATGAACTTTCAAGAAGTCACACCTGAACCTTTTTGTGAGTTTTCTGAGGGTGCACAGTTCTGGGTCGCCAGTTCTGCGTGTTCTCCCAGGGGGGTGTGGGAGAGACTGTTGGGTTAGAATGGGACGCCGCGCAGTTCGTCTAGGAGCTCTGCCTCATCTGCTCCTTGACTAAAATGGTGGATGAAGCTTGATGAGGTTTTCCACTTCAGTAAAGACTTCCCTGAGATTTCAGGAAATCTGTTGTGCTTCAACTGTAGAATTAATGTCTAAATTAGTTTTTCCTGTTTTGTTTTTTTACTAGTGGAATCTGAGTATAAGCCTAATCGTTATGTGTATATACCAGGCATGAATACATACACACACACAAATACAGTTTTTATTTCTGTATACATTCTTGCAAGATAAAACAATTCCCTATTCTTTTTAAGGGAGGTTACAATTTTAGTGTAATGAAAAAGTGATGGTTATAATGAAAGGGAAAGGAAGGAAGTTAATTAAGAAGGTATTTCTAAAAACTTGCCCAGCAGTTTTTTGCCAAGAGCACTAATCATGACATACAGATAGAATTCCAATTTTTTGAATGGTTACTGCACCTTCAAAAAAATTCTATCAGTTTCCCTGAGGTTAAGGATCTACCTAACTAAAATATTGTGGAAGCTTTTTTATCTTTTCCTCCTCCTCCTCCTTCTTCTCCTTCTCCTTTTTTTTTTTTCCTTTTTCCTCCTTTTCCCCTCCTTTTTTTTCCCTGTGGTGTTTGTTTGTTTGTTTGTTTATTTTTAAGGCTTGATCCTACCTTTATTAAAAGCAATGGGAGGTCTGCTCAGTGGAAGTGGTATGCCCCCTTAATGATCTTGTGTGTTTTGTCCCAGTTGTGGCTGCCTTTCTTCTGTTTATGAACTGATTTGTATATAGTACTTTGGGATCTCTCCACAAGAAAGATGCTACATAAGTGTATGCTAATTAACAGAAAGCATTTTTGTTCATATTTGAAAAACTATAATTGAAAAATGATCTGAAAATGTTTCTACAGCTGTTAATATATTTTTCTCAACTTTTCAGAGTCATTATCAGGTACACTGTGAATGAATTCAGAGCAAAATTAATAGAACTTTAGACTTTACTTGTCTACCCGTGAACAGGTCCATTGAGTTGTTGCTGGGTGTGAATAAAATACCACCCTATTGCATATCAGTGACATAACTTTTTTTATCCAGTTATACAGTTTTAGGTCCTATTCTTCCTACCTAAAAAGGAAATGAAGCCTGAAAATAGTGAAAATATATTTTCATTTCAAGGCTCCTCTTTCATCTGACTTATTATACTGCCATCATCTTCAAATCATGCAAAAGCTGCCCTTTTCATACTGAAGTATGGTAAGAAAGTATTTAATGACAGCTTACAAAAAAATTGTACCTGAATGCAGTAGTATCAGCAAAACATTAGCGTGCCAATATCTAGTGTATATACTAGCACAGTAGATGCTGTATATGGACATAATTAACGTAGTCATTCAGCACATGAACTGACTTGGTAGAGAAAATGCAGCCACATTCCTAGCACTATATATTCAATGCCATACTAGCCATTTTGGGGGGGGGGGGGGGGGGGGGCTCCCCTTTTTTCT